CCAGGAATTTTCAAATTTGTTTAAACAAAAAACTAATTTCCCTTCTTTTTAGTTTATCTATTAATATCTGGTTTGCTGTTAATTCCATAAAAGATTAGCCTTCCTTTAACAGTTCTTTGTGATATTTTACAAAGTCCATTTGATATAATCAGCTTGTTACTGTATACGTATTTTATGTTCCAATGTTTCCATTTTCTTTTTATAAACATTTCCATAGTATCCTACTATTTAGATATACTTATTTTACTTAACCATTTTATCATTAGGCATTTGGGCTATCTGCAACTTTTAAATATAATTAACATTGCTCTGAATATTTTTATACACATTATTTTTCCTCTGTTGATCTACATCCTATTACTAAAAGAATTACCTAGTCAAAGTTTATTTAGGTCCTGTTGGTTTTTATTTCCAGTATCTCTGATCATTTAGATGCACTGAATATTTCTGCTTGTTTCTTCACTGTAACATTAAATACATTATATGTATTTATGTGACTTATAGCAAAGCTGTTCACTTGTTTTTTGGATGATTCATTATGAATTTCATTTCCTCTCTGTAGGGTTCTAGTTGGATAACAACTTCTGCCCTTTGTAAAATATGGATCACTATGTTGTTGGGACAAGGGCAGAACAGAAAACGGCTAGAGAAAATACACTCTTTATAATTGTAAAATCTTGTGAAAGTTCTTTTAAGTCACTCTTGCACTTGACATGCTTGTTTTAATGGCATGATGTATGCTGGATGAGAAATAAAATCTTCCAGCCAGATGTCATTAGTATTCAAAGCCCAAGACATTGTAGAAAATATGAGCTAGGTCCTGGGACCATAAAAATGTTTCCAAATCTTTGTCATTAATAGCCATAATGCTTCAAAGTGAATGGAAAAATTTTCAGCATTAAAAACAATGTATGAGGGCACATACCTCTATTTTTCACAACTCTGTCAACATATTTTATCATTTCCATTTTTGCTATTTTTTAATAGCATTAAAGATTTTAAACTAATTTTTTAATTCATTAACAAAGCTGTGGATTTTTCTCATGTAATGGTTTACTATCTCTATTTCCATATTTTAAAATATCTGTTCATCTCCTTTGTCTTTTTTTGACAGCTTCATTAAGATATAATTTACATACAATAGAATTCGTCGATTTTAAGTGTACAGCACAATGATTTCTAGTATTTGCAATAATCATTGCAGTCTGGTTTTAGAACACTTGTATCACTCCAGAAAGTTCCTTTCTGCCTGTTTGCAGTCAATGCCCACTCATGCTCCCCACCTCAGGCAACCCCCATCTGCTTTCTACCTCCACTGTTTTGCCTTTGCAAGAATTTCACATAAATGGAATCATACAATATGCAGCATTTTGCATCTGGCTTCTTACACATGGCATAATGTTTCTGAGGTTCATTCATGTTGCAGCATGTATCGGTACTTCATTTCTTTACATTGCTCATTAATATTCCTTGTAGGAATATACCACATTTTATTTATCTACTTAGCAGTTGATGGACATTTGGATTGTTATTAGCTTTTCACTATTACGAATAATGCTGCTGTGAACATTTGCACACCAGTCTTTGTAGAGACGTGCTTTTATTTTTCTTGGGTGGATACCTAGGAATAAAATTGTTGGGTCATAGAATAACTACTCTATGTTTAACTTTTAAATAAAACTGCCAAACTGGCCGTATCATTTTACATTTCTACCAGCAATCTAGTTTCTCTACATTCTTGCCAATATTTGGTATAGTCACAGTTTTTTTGATTGCTATGGTCTGAATGTTTGCGTTCCCTTACAATTCACATGCTGAAATCCTAACCCTCAAAGTGATGATATCAAGAGGTGTGGCTTTAGGGAGGCCTTAGGAGCCCTCATGAATGGGATTAGTGTGGAGGTCGTTGGCTGTTCCACTATGTGAGGACACAGCAAAAAGGCACCACGTATGAGCCAGAAAGCAGGCCCTCGCTAGACAATGACTCTGCTTTGATCTTGGACTTCCCAACCTCCAGAACTATGAGAAATAAATTTCTTTTGTTTATAAGCTACCAAGCTTATGGCATTTTGGTATAGCAGCCTGAACAGACTAAGACATTGATTTTTGAGCCATTCTAGAAGATGTGTAGTGGTATCTCTTATAGTTTTAATTTGTATTTTCCCTGGTAACTAATGATGTTGGATACCTTTTCACGTGCATATTTCTTTGTATATCTTCTTTGTCTAAATTCCTTTCAATGGAATCTGATTATTGCCCTTATAGTTCAGAAGCAATTACATGATTGAGACAGTGAATTTGCAATTTTCTCACTCTGTTGCCTTTCATTGTAATATTAATTTTACTGTTTTTTTTTTTTCTAACCCATACCCCTTTTGGTAGAAATAATGACATCTCTTTTTTGTGCTATCACATACACCGAAGCTACAGTCACGCGTGGCTTTATGATGGGTATATGTCCTGAGAAATGAGGCGTTAGGTGATTTCGTCACTGTGTGAATATAACAGAGTGTACTCACACAAACCTAGATGGTGTGGCCTACTACACACCTAGACTATGCGGTATATAGCCCACTGCTCCTAGGCTACAAGCTTGTACAACGTGTTACTGTACTGAATACTGTAGGCAACACAATAGTAAGTATTTGTGTATTTAAACATAAACATAGAAAGGTACAGTAAGAATATGGTATAAAAGATTTAAAAAATAGTACACCGGTATAGGCACTTACCACAAATGGAGCTTGCAGGACTGGAGGTTGTTCTGAGTGAGCCAGTGAGTGAGTGGGAGTGAATGTGAAGGCCTAGGACATCACTGCACACTGCTGCAGACTTTGTAAACACTGTACACTTAGGCTATGCTAAATTTATAAAAAATATTTTTCTTCAATAATAAACTTCACTTACTGTAACTTTATAA